AAAAGCTAAATTAAAATTACAATTAAAATGTTGATATTTTAAGTCAATCAAGTAATGTAGCTTGTGTCTGGCTTTAGTAAGTAAGTTGTAAATATAAATTCCTCCACAATGTTGCAGATAATAACATCTGATTGCAGTCAATTGATGACTGAGAAACACTTTTTTACTCCGTCAAACTGCTGCATTTTCACACAGTGCACACAAAGTGACGATCTACACTTAATCAGCACGAGAAACTCAGCTGACACACAACATTTGGTTCAGTGTTGTTAACCAAACCAAACTGACACAAGTGATCTTTCTAAATATAGAGCTACATTTCTATTTCTCTACTTCATTCTTCATCCCTCCATCTGACTCTCTTTTTTCCTTCCACCTGGTCCCATTCGTCATCTGCTGTTTAGCTAATGATATAAAAAGCGACTGTTGTAAAAATAAATTGTGACAAAGAGGATTCGTAATAACAACACAGTGAGATGAACCCGATTGCTTCTTCCACTTCATTTCACAGTGGCTCAATGTTTTTGCTCAGATCATTAAACCTGAGTGCTTAATTACATCCTTGACTATGTTCGTCTTCCTGCAACAGCTCTATCAGTAAATCAATGAGTCAGTCGGTAGAAGCACCTGTGGAGCCAGCATGGAGCAGATCTTAGCGAACAGCACATGACCGGAGAGAGCAAACAGGATGTGCTCTCTGAAGGTCGAAAACCACATCATCCACTCGAAATCGGCCGTATCCTGTGGATCAATGAGCGGAAAATAAAACAAATTAGGAACAGTTTCACATTAATGACAAACGTCTTGAAAAACTATGTACGTCCTCTCACCATTTTCCTCCCAAAGTAGTACCATCCTGGCTTCACGCTGGTTTTGAACGTCTTTCTGTTTGCACTCGCTGGAAAAAGATGAGAAATAAATAATTACATTTGATGAAAAACTGAATCACAACCAGAAACAAAACTTAGCATACATCTCCATCTCATGATATAATATTTTATTTTCCTTTATTAAATTTTTTTTGTCCTTGAATGCAGATGTGAAACTCTTGTTCCAAGTGACAGTGAAGAGCCAACACAGGACCCTTTTTCTTCCTGTGCTCTGTGATATTAATAGTGACACCTGATCTCCTCTGCATGGTCTGCATAGCTCCAACACTTCACCCTCACACCGCGACACTGGCCCAAAATGTATACTGCACATTGTGTTGTCTGTATGTGTCTGAAGTTATAACTTGTGCCTTAATGTGATGATTTCTTTAAAAATATAAGATTTGAGAAGTTCATGCATGTTTTTGTGTTTGCAAATCTGCACATTTGTGTGTCACTGTGTCCCAGTTGTCACATTATCACCCAGTACAACAGTGTGTCTCACTGATGTGTTCTAAATGGTTTTTGGACAACAATGGAGCTCTGTGGCTCTCTGAGTAATAAGGATCGAGAAACACTTGTTAGGAGGATCAGTTCATGTTTGGTTTTGTCATGGCATTTATTGAAAATAAAAAATATAGAAAATATCACCAGATGTATCATTTAAAGGTCCAGTGTGTAACATTTAGGCAGGGATTGAATATAACACTCATAGGTGTGTTTTCATTAGTTTATAATCACCTGAATATAGAAATCATGTTTTCGTTACCTTAGAATTAGCTGTTTTTATCTACAGTTGCCTTCAGTGGAGGCCACCATGTTGAACCGCCATGTTTCTACGGTAGCTCAGACAAACCAAACGCTGACTCTAGATAGGGCCTTTTACATTCTTTGCAAGTTTCTCCTACACATTTCACAGCCCATTCTCATTCTCGGGTTGTCAATACAGATGACAGTTAGTTGCAATCTTAAACTTAATCGCTAGATGACACAGAATCATACACACTGGTCCTTTAATTGAATTTATTGAGCACTTTTATGCAAGCAGTTTTCAAGACAGGGGATGAATCTCTGCCAAACCTGTTTACATGTGCTATTAGCAGGAAACTGACTGTATGTGTGTTTGTTTGTGTGTGTGTGTGTGTGTGTGTGTGTGTGTGTGTGTGTGTGTGTGTGTGTTGTGTGTGCTTCCTCATACTCACAACTGGACACCTCAAAGATCCAGCTGGAAGCCCAGAACATGGCCAGGCACAGCACCGTGTTGTAGAAATAGATCTCATATTTGGGAAGAGCAGCTTTGATCCCCATCGTGACTCTGACAAGAGGAGCACTGGAGGCTCCTGAACACAACAACAACAAACCACTTTATCAGTACGACTAAAACAGGTTTAACTTCTGAAATGACAACTTGTGGCCTTACAGCATGCCGAGGCTTCCTTTTGCACACCCAAAAAGCAAACACATCCTGATGGTTTGCACAGTGATCATCAGTGACCTCCTCACTCTCTTATTATTAACACACTGTACAGACCCTGAACCAGCAGCTGTAAGCGTAAAACTAAAAAGGAAAGTGCAACAATGCAACTTGAATGTTTGTATGAGAGACATCTATTCCAACTGTAACTAAAAATACACGTCTCAGCTTGTCAATCATTCTTGATTTAGGTCACTGTCACGTGTGAGGTACTGTACTTGCCCTGACATTTTATTAGAGGTGGAAAGTAACAAAAGATACTTCATGTGGTTTTTATATATTCAAGTATAAATATATTCTGTGACACTTTCAGTCCAGTTTACTTCTGAGGGAGCTTTAGCATTTTCTCTACTTTCTCTGATGGCCATAATGAGGTCAGTAAATTATGACCGTAAACTGCATGTGAAGTGATTAGAACTTGTCCTAATGGTGGAAGACCTATTCAGATCCTTTACTTGAGAAAAAGTTGCAAAACCACAATGTAAATATTTTAAATAACTCTTTAAAAGTAAAAGAACTCCACTCAAAATTTGACTTAAGTAAAACTATAGGAGTATTAGCAACAAAATAAAAGTATTCATTATGAAGAATGGCCCCTGTATGTCAATCTTATATTGTTGGATAATTGTATTGATGCAATAGCATGTAAGCAGTACTTTAATATTGTAGTTGGTCAAAGTTGAGCTAATTTCATCTGCTTCATACACTGGTGGGTTGTTTAATTCATCACTTCTTGTTGTATTTTGTTTGCAAAAGTAATAAGTAAAGACATTAAGGTACAAAGTATAATATTTTCCTGTGAAATGTAGTAGAAGTGAAAAGATTTAAGTACTGAAGGAAAGTACAGCACAGTATTTGAGTAAATGTAACTTTCTACCACTGTCTTGTATTAGACCAACATTATTACACAACTTTAACTTGAACAGTATTTTTTACAAACATTTCAGAGCTTAGAGCTCACTGCCAACACTTCTATTATTAATATAAATGATATCTTAATACAGTAAAGGTGTGTTATGATTGGGGCATTATATCAAAATACTAATATCTACTTGAATAAAAGTTGCAATACGTAAAGGTAAGATACTCCTGTATTCAAATGTTTACTTAAGTAGAAATAAAACACCATTTCCATGAGACAGGGTTGATTTAGCAGTAAAATCTTGTTAAAGCATCAAAGTAAAAGTACTTCTGCCTCCTTTCAGAGTTATTTGATGATGTTTGACGTTTGATTCTATGTAAAACAAAAGAAAACAAACTTACTAATATCTATCAAATACATGTAAAAAAGAAGAATATCTCCACTGTGATAGGTTTATGTAGTGGAGTAGAAGAATAAAGTAGCATCAAATGGAGTAAATGCACTCAGGTAAAGGATTTCTTCTACTTTATCTATCTCATGCTATATAACACAGCTGCCTGCTTTATCTTGGTGTTTCTTCTGTAACACAAGAAGCTGAATCATGTGATCCTCTTGTCTCTAATGATTGTGTTAAAGTGGGGATTTTATTTTTATCTTTCCTGACTTGTGATTATCAAGTAAAAAAGGATCAGTGGAGGGCAAATGGGCAAGTTTCCACTGATGAGACGTGAACACACCAACAAAAGTACAGCTGCATGCTATTTTTAACCAAACAACTTCTCTCCAGTTATTCATCAGTCAAAATGTCGCTGTATTGATTTGTAATCCGGAAATCAAATCAAAATTGTCTTTCAGGTTTCCACAGCAACCGAACTTTTATTTATTTATTTTAGCTGTATTACCCTCCCTGTTGTCTCTGCACAATGTGAGTGAGATGCCTGCTGTGTAAATGCCACACGGTCATGCACTTCAGTTGTCCTCCAGCAGCACCTGTTCTGATACTGACCTTGAACGCAGCAGTTGCCGACCCGAAGAAAGTTGCTTTAAAAACGCAACAAAAAAATACAAATTTAAAAAAGTTGAAAGCGCAGATTAAAACTTCATATTACAAAAGAAAAACAGGTGAGAAAATGTAAACTTTACATGTGTTCCGCATCTGCACAGCGCAGGGTGGGCTGCGGGTCCCTCTGACTCCCTGACAGGGAGCTGCCGCCGGGTAAAGGTGACATGATGTATTTATACTTTGACCACTGACACAGAGGGGGCGGAACAGGAGGACTGCTAACAGACTATAAGCCTCACAACGTGAGGAGTCACAGTTATCTTTTGCATGTTTCAACTTACTCTACCATCCACTTCCGACGCAGCAGAGGGTAAACCTGATCTAAAGCCACTTCCTGTAGCTATGACGGTTTATTATGTGCAGAGAAGAGTCTGTCTTCAGTGGGATAAATATCATTTAACATCAAATTTATTAAAAAAGAGCATGCATTGACCGTGAAAAAGTAAAATTAATTTGCTTATGTCTGCATTGTCCTACATAATAAATGTCCTGTGATAATAACTAAATTGTCAAATTAAAACACCTCCTGTCTCTTTTCTCTTGTTGCTATTTTCCATATTCCCGGTTGCCAGGTCTGTTTTGAGAGGGTCTAAGCCTGTTGCAATTTTGAGCCACAGCCAAACATCCATGCCTCTCGCATTCTACAATGAACTGTGAGACAACATGCAGTGCCGTCTAGTGACAGCAACACAAAATACAATGCAGTCAGATACAGTAGCACAAGGAAACAACTGTAGTGTGAGTGGTTTATTTTGAAAGGTTAACTGAGGTATACAGTATTAAAACACAGAATGAAACACAAGTCCATACCTGGTTGTATCTATGTTTTCTGCTTTCACAGTATCAGCACTACACATCTGTTGGGACTTGTTAAGAGACTTGCTCAGGTGAAAGTTATAGGCCATAGAGGACTGTGTCCAGCTTGTTTGTGATTGGTTGAGCTTTCCTTCACCTTCAAATCCTCCATCATACCATCATAAACAAAACCCACTTACAGACACTATTTTTTTCTGTGTATAAAAATACAAAATTTATAAGGATTTGTTGTAAAAAAAAAAAAAAATGGTGAAATCTTTATTTGGTCCCTGTGCATAGAGTAGAGGAGTCCCAGGTTGTTTACTCCTTCTTGCTGGTCTCTTGTCCTTCAAAGATGGGGTACTTGCTCTCCACCTCAGCCCACATCAAAGTGCCGTTAGCCAGATCTCGAACCATCCCTGGCAACTCGGTGACCTGCAATATTATTTTAGATATTAGAACATACAAATCAGCCAGTGCATGATACTGTACTTAAGCCTTTGTTCATTAAAGCAGTTGTTGGATTCTTCTACCTCGGCCCTGATCTGCCTCATTGAGTCGCGGTCTCTCAGAGTGGCCGTGTGAGGCGCCTTGTTGGCCGTGTCGAAGTCGATGGTGATGCCGAACGCCACTCCGATCTCGTCTGACCGGGCGTAACGCCTCCCGATGGATCCTGAAGAGTCGTCCACTTTGTGAGAGACACCATATTTAGTCATCGCCTCGGCTTAAAGGAGAAAGAAGAAAACTAAAATTAGTGATCAGTTTGAAAATAGCAAAAAATACATTTCATATAAATATAGAAACATTGAAAGAAATAGTTTGACTTTTTAGGATAATGCCCATATTTACTTTTCTTGTTATGAGAATACTGTAATTAAATATAATGAAGCTACATACTGCACCCAGTATGCTTAGCTTAGCATAAAAACTGAAGAAGTTACCGTTCCCAACGAAGAAATAGTACATAACTCCTGGTAACAGTGTTTCATTTTTACACAGATTATATACCGTGTTCATTAGTTAACTTCAGAGGTGCTGGTTGGCAGAGTTTGTTACGTTTGGACAGAGTCAGGCAGACTGTTTCTCCCTGTTTCCAGTCTTTATGCTAAGCTAACAGAATTTGTCTGGTTTCCTTTGTCTTATATTTGTAAGTTTATCGGTATTTTCCATGCTAGTGTCCCAGCTTTATGCTAAGCTATGCTAAATCCAAGATGGCCCCAGCTTCACAGACAGAAATGAGAGTATTTAACCAAAATGTCAAACTATTTTTTTAAATTAAATAATACTGTACTGATATCTGAAAGTTAGCATCCCCACTCACACAGCTGGTGGACAAATGGCATAAACTCCTGGTTTTGGCTCAAAGGAAGGATGGAACATTTGTATGGAGATACAGTGGCAGGGAAGCTGAAATACTGGACAAGAAATAAATCTTTAATTAAAAAAAATTACCAGTGGAACAACAAAAACAGGTATGTGATTCTCACTCAAAATCTCATTCCTTGTTATGAAGCATTCTCACCGTCCTCTGTTCATCGCCCTGTCGGACGTGGAAAGAGTGCTCGAAGATGGAGTACATGATTCGGCCGATGCCAAAAGACGGCTCGATTACATTGGGAACAATCTCCTCCACTGTGGGAAAAGAGAGACGGTTGTTTTCTCACATGAACAACTCTGTTGTACTCTACAGCTCTGAGGCAGGTTTGGTGTCGCCTCTTACCGTGCAACGTTTTCTGGAACCTCTTCACACTGACCATGTCTTTGGTCAGTTTAAATGTCTTGCCAGCTGTCTCGAGGCTGAACTCCCTGCAGACATAAACACAACAATACAACAAAATTAACGCATTTGTAAACCTTTTCTTTGGCATATGAGCGTCATCACTGCGGTCTGAAATTACCCATTTTCACTGAGAAGCTTCTCCTGATCACTGATGTAGCATTCATCGCAGACAGCCAGGTACTCCAGAACCAACTTGGCATCTTTCTTGAAGGCTGTTCCTATGGCTCCCTTGTTGGGCTCAAACTGGACCACATTTACTACTTTGTGTGAAGACGTTAAGGAGTAAAAGCAGTTTGCAAACAAAGGAAACAATCGGGTTCAGTTAAAAAGGGCAGATAGAAAACCCCAAGTCCCCCTCCAGTCAAAAATAAGTGTTTCTTCTTGTTCCTGCAGTTGGATGTTTGAGCTTCACTGTGCACAATGATGTGTGTGCAGAGTCTGACACTACAGGGATGTTTTTTACATTTGTCTGCTGAAAGTGGAAAGGTTCTCTGTGCTCATTATCAGTCTGGATTTAAGGGGCCTACAAGCATAATTTGTGTAATCCTGGTCCAGTATGCAACATATACAAGTGTGATGTAGAAACCTGCAGAAAGCCACCAGTGCACAGACACTGAGAATGGACTTTACAGAGAAGTAGGGGACATCTTCTGTCCAGCATTAAAACTTTGGAGACGAACAAACTTTGCACATTCATATATTCTAGTATTTCTGATAGAGGTGTTTTTTGCATATAAAAACATATTAAGCACACATTATTGTTCCAAGCAGATCAGTCCACTCATTTATATTACATTTAAATACATAAAATACCATGTTCTGAACATTAATGTGAGTCTGATGGGTTACTAACAAAATAATTCTAATTCTTCTCACAGATCTTTATGAATAGGGAAATCATTTTAAAACTCTCCTACTCGGATGACAAGTCCATTCTCAGTTGTCACCTGGTCTTCACATCACACTTGTATATTTGATCCACTTGGTTTCCACCGTTGTTGAAATGTCACAAAATCAGATTTAAGTGTTCACAGAAATTCTTCAGCAGCTGAATGTTAAAAACATCCTTCTAGTGTCAAACGCTGCACATTCATCATTCTGCACAGTGAACTCAAACATCCAAAATACCGGGATAATAAGCAGAACACATTTTTGAGTGAAGGAGGACTTCAAAGATCCAGAAATTAACATTGCTGACTTTGGCGACACCTACTGGTAATATCAGAAAATACACTGTAGAGGACAACACTGCAAACTCCCTGTGTACAATAATAAACCACACTCTGAATGAACTGTAGCATGTTTACATTCTTAGATATAATTTTTGCGGTGTATGCACACAACATACAAACATGGTCATAGATTATTGTAAGTTTTTCTGGGCTGGGAGAATAGAAGGATATGGGTTCTTTCAGGGGTTTTTCAGCCACTAGAGGGACTCTGGTCGCTCTGGAGTGACACGAGAGGTCATAGCAGGCGCGGTCAGCACAGCCCACGATCTCAATCCAACCCTGAGGGAGAAAAACAAGCTTGTCTCGACGAACATAGCTCCAAAGATCTCTATCTATATATGTCAATAAAAGAGAAAAGCATTTACATAGGAGGTTTTGGACTCCGCATCCCAGCAGTCACAGGCGTAGTGAGCCATCTCGTTTTCCATGTGCTGACGGAAGCGCACTTTCCCTTTGGACAACCCCACTTTAGTTAGATAGAGGTAGATTCTTCCAATGAAGTAGCCCAACACTGAGTTGTTGATCACTCCCTGCAATAAAGTTGTTATGATGATAGTCAGACAAATACAGAATAAACCAACAGATCTGAACATGAAAGATAATTTTTGCGACATTTATTCAGTTGTGGAAACAGATACTTAGATCTTTTACTTAAAGCAGCAACAAGCAACTTTCATTTTAAGTTGATTCTGGCTGTAGACTCGTTTCCTAACTTCACTTTAAAGTAATATATAATGTAATTACAACAAATTATCCTGTAAATCTATTTACTATTTATGTTAAATATGTATATCTCTCTATAAAAGCAAGAAATCTCTGTCTGTCTGTCTGTCTGTCTGTCTGAGTCTCAAATATCTCTGCAGATCAGGATCAGACTGACCTGAGAGTTTCAACATGGCTGCTGTGTGGTTTAAGGGTGTGCAACGTCGGCTTTGTTTGGACTACAAAGATACCGTTAATAAATGATTTCATAAATTATTTACGAATTCCGCTAGCATTGTCAACCATAGCCACCATAGCCACATGCGCACCAGAGCCAATCACTGCAGAGCCAATCACTGCAGAGCCAATCACTGCAGAGCCCACCCCTACAACACACCTTAAGAAACATGTTGATATACCTGCAGCGGGTTTTGCCGGCTGTTCGGTCCCGTTCTGTGCATCTAAACTGACTGTTGTGGATTACTGAGACTGAACGAGTTACCGGACCGAGTCTGTTCCGGTCTGAGGAGATCCAGATACACGAGGACAACAAACTGGAATCGGAATCTGTGGATGTTCGTCTGTAGCTAGCTGCTACACCTTCAACCTCATTTGGCCATCCATGAAAAAGCTACTTAACCTCCCACTTTTCTATAGCAATACATACTTCCTACGGGCACTGCACTAGTTTTAAATAATGTTAGTTTCAACAATATTCATTTATTAAAGTTTAATGTGTTTATAGTTTTCTTGTTAGTAAATTAAATAATCTATATATCATTTTGCAGAAAAAATATATTTCTATAGCACACAGTAACTTTATAGAATACAGTATATATGTTTATAATAACATCTTCTATTTCCTGCTATTTGATGTTGCATTAAAGGTTTATAATGTTAAATTACAGTTATAACATTGTAACTATGGCCACATTAGACCAGGCATGTTTTCAGCCGTTACAATAAACACATGCTTGCATTATATAATAAGTAAATAATAATAAAATAATAAGTCAATTAAATCATTCCTACCTGCTCCACAGCATCGCCCAGCCTAATGATTTGTGCTGACTGGCCACTGGTCTGGGCTTTGGAGGAGAACAACAGGATCTCTAGGTCGGCCACGTTGGAGAATTTAGGGTGGACTTTCTCATTCGGATCCACAAAGTGCTCGATCTCAGCCATGGTGAACTCCCTGTAAGCAGGATATGTTTATGTCTCACTGTATAGTCACTGTAATGTGCGGTAGAGGAATTAAGGAGTTTCTGACTACCTCACACGAATGAGTCCAGAGCGAGGAGAGATCTCGTTCCTGAAGGAGTTTCCGATCTGAGCGGCACCAAAGGGAAGTTTTCCCTGGTTAAACTCCAGCAAGCGTTTGAAGTTGAGGAACATTCCCTGAGCCGTTTCAGGCCTCAGATAGCTGTAAGGCACAGTTAGTTAACACATTTTAATACAGACAATCAAAGAGGAAAAGACAAGATGAGATGAAGTGTTTGTATTGATCAGTACCCAGGCGTATTCCCGCCAGGCCCAATAGACGTCTGAAACATCAGGTTAAAGGAGACGGGAGGTGTGAGGTCATTTCCTGTTGAGGGAGACCTGACGTTGTATTTCACAAAGAGATCAGTCAGCTCCTGCTGGGTGTAGTTGTCCATCTGGAGCAAACCATTAAGAGGATTATTTGTCAGTATATTCGACAACTTCCATATATCTTTTGTGTGTGTGTGTGTTTGTGCGTGTGTTTGTGTAGCACCCACCTGAGTGATTACGTCCTCCATCTCAGTCACCTTCTCTGCAGAGCATTTCTCATCAGACATCAGTTTTTTTAAGTGAGCTGTGAGGGAACAAACACTTCATTAAGCAGCTGTTACAGTGACTCAGTCAAAGAAACACATTCTGCTTGACATCCTGACCTTTTTAATCAATCTTAATTATTAATCATGATGTTAGGTTACTATGAGGTCTTGTTTGAAAATCACATGGTCTCAAAAGCTACTTATAGAGACGTCCTGTGGCATCATACAGTTGATAAGTTTCAGGCACAAAATGGAAAATATTTACCAGGTTTCGGCATTAGAGGCAGTAAAGTGTGTAATAAATATAAGGTTCCTATTGTCTTAATGTCTCTCAGGAGGTTAATTTTCATTTGGTATTTTTGTCTTATCAGCCTTTTATCTGTCCTTATCCCACATGCAGGGTGGAGTTTCTTAAAGCACAAACTTAGCTGTAAGTTTGACTTCTCATGCCAGAAAATAAATAAAAAAATAAATGTACAAAGAATTAGTGGTAATCACTCAAAATACTTCTATAGAACAATCCGAGGCTGTAAAATGTCCCTTTTTCACTTTGACTACAATACACTTGACTTGACACTGTTTTACTCTGAATTACAGACAGAAAATGAGATACTGTGTCAGCTGATTTTCAACTGGTTTTTAAGTATTTAGTTTTGTTACTATAAATAAAACATTTATCAAATGTTTTTCACAGATGGACTCCAGATTAAAGAACACCTGAAAAACCAGTTGCTTATGAACTCCTGCCCTGGCCTGAGGATACCTAACCCAGTAAGGCAAGTAAAAACCTGTAGATGATCTTAAACGTTTTTTTTTTTTTTTTTTGTTTTAAGGCTTTCTCTGCAGAGAAGAATTCAAACAGCAATATCTAGTGGCAGGTTGATTATTATGATATATTTTGTCAGCCTGACGTTTCAGAGATTATTGTTATAATTTGAACATTCACATCTCAGCTAGTAATCATCTGCTCTGAGGTCATTCCTCTCTTTAAGGATGAAATCTGACACCTTGAAAGCAAAGCAGGGAAATCATGTTAAGCTCAGGGGAGGCACTGAACTAGGCGGGGCCCGTTTTAATCCTCTGAATGACATAATGGTGGTAGGATAAAGTCACCTTTGAGGAGGTGATCAGCGCGGTAGCATTCTCCCGTCTTGGCATCTTTCACCATGTAGTCAGCGAATTTATCCACGTGCCCCGACGTCCTGAGAAGAGCCAACAGCTTTTAGTGCAAATGTGACGCAAAGTCTTCCATTCTCAGTCAGGAAGACGAGCTGGAATAGAAAATGTTGGACATGTTTTGTTGAGTTTGTTGCAACTTACTTGAGGACAGGCTCGGGGGTCAGCATGGTGCAGTCGATCTCCAGGATCTGCTCCTCCTGGATGAAGTGCTGCCTCCACACCTGCAGGATGTTGTTCTTCAGGGCACAGCCCACAGGACCGAAGTCGTACAGGCCGCTCACACCTGAAACAAACAGTGATCAGTCTGCATGTTTTAATATTTTGAAGTAATATCTTCCTGGAACTGTGCATGCTCTGTGTTTTTTTTTATATTTTACCTCCATATATGGCAAAAGCCTGATCGTAGAAGAATCTCCTCTTTAAGGTATCCTCCATCTTCACTCTGTCCACTGTGTCGTCTTTGGGCTGCAGAGCTAGCTCCTACAAGGGAGGGTGCATAATGGCATGATGGTTTAGACTATTAACCTGCAAACTCAATGAGGAACTGAAAATAACAAAAATGTTCTCTGACAAATAGAAAGTGGAACCGAGGTGTTTCAGAAAAAAGATTAACCAGCAGTTGTGAGACTCTTGACCTTTGCTTCAAGAATCTTCTTCCGGGCTTTCAGCTCTGCAACAGCTCTGCCCAGCTCCGACTCTGTGGCGCCTTTTTCCTTCAGCTGATGCACAAGGTCACCCTGCAGACAAATATCATGTGCTACCTCAGAGAACAACGGATTTCATATTTAAATTTGTTATTTCTGTAAGAATGATTCTAATCTTTAATTGATTCACGTACACGTGGCCTGTATATTTCTAGAAATAAAAACTAATAAAAGGAGACAGCTGTAGTCTTTGTTTTTCTTTTTAATCTATTAATGATCTCATAAAATATGTTTGGAGGTACTTTCACTTTAGTTTTCACACAATAAGATTCTAATTTAACTGAAAAAATAGCAAGAAACCTGCAACAATGGAGCCGAACAAGGTACAGAATCTGTTTTCATTCTCATAGAAATGTCCTGTAAAACCATGTATATTTTTAGAATTCTGCTTAGATGCTAAACATTAAAATCATCTTTTATTTATGAGTGTAAAATTATAACTTAATGATCCAAATACAGAAATCCTTTTGAAGTATTTAACCAACTCTCTAATCAGGACATTTAAAATTCTACAATGTTTTTACCTGTAACCTGTCCGCATATCTCACCTGTTCCCTCACCGCCTCCCTTAAAGGCGCCAGTACTTCTTCCATCTTCGACACGTTTAAAAAAGCTCCTTGCAGCACGATCCTCCTGCAGTCTGCCGTCGATCAGCTCCACACTCATCTGTTTTCACTTTCCTTCAGGCTCTCTTTTAGCTGAGGCAAGTGAAGGGGAGGAGCAGGTTTCTGTGCAGTCTGACTAGTATGTAGTGGTGTCTGAAACCAGGGCTTTCTGTTGCATCATCCAGGAAACTCAGACAAATGGCCTACTCTGCCATAAAAACATGAGCATATACCACCTGCCTAACATTTATTAACAACCCAGATAACATAGATTCCTTACTATTACATGCATCAGCCATGGCAGTATTAACCTGGTGGGTAGAAACCTTGTTGGGACCCTTTTAACCCCTTGTTCCTCCCACTCCTAGTTCTGTACACAACAGCACAACACAAATAGTTTTAGGAAAATGTCAAATGTGACAGAATAAACTGAAAATACAATATTAAAACTAGATATTTTCTACAATGTTAAGTAGCAATGCAAAAGACAATTTAAAGGGTGGAGTCCATAGGGTTGAGACTCCAACCATGAACTGCATTGTGTGGTAGAAGACCTTTGTTCTGTCCCTTTCTACCTCATTTCCTTAGTCAGCCAGTCTTTCCACTGTTCCAATACTCACAAACTGTTCTGGTTGAAATAAATCCCTAATTCACAGGGGTGAGAAGAGAAAAACAGCAGTTTGATGTTATGTTACACTAATTGAGTTAATGTTTCCAGATTAACCAAACAGGCCTAGTATGTATCCGGGGTGTGAAAGGAAACAAGAAGCAGGTCAGTGTTCAATACCTGCAGAACATACAAATCAATAGGCTACAGACCGCTTTGTACAAAAATGATCCAGGACACTTAAGATCAAACTTAATTTCATTTTAATTTAAATCAAAAGTCCCTACAGAACTAATTTTAGCATTTCAAATACATATTTTAAGATATTTGTTGCCACACATCAATCAAATGTGGTTAACAATCAATTCATACTTACACCTCTTATTAATGTAAAGCCTCATTTATCAATCTACAAAATTAACTTGTTAAATAATCCTCATGTCTCATACAAAGACAGTAAAAAATAAAAATCTAGATCATTTAGAAAGAAAAAGGATGTTGATGTTACCAAATGCAACAATATTATATATCATATAATATTAAAAAATAATATAGAGATAAATGACGCAGTATCCCCTTCAGTCCTTTATTTTTATTTTTGAGTTAAAAGTATTTTATGCTGGTGGATTTCAGTCTACATGAGCAACATTTGATCCTCTCATCACAGAAGATGTGTCTGAATGTGTCTGTACCACTGACATTATATATAAGGTCTGTACACAGGTTGCTTGCTGAGCTGTGGGTCGATCAGGTTACAGCTGCTGAGAGTTCAATCCTGAAGGAGCAGCCCGGAGTTCACTGACCAAACCTGCAGAGACAATGGAGAGGACATTTATGGATCCGTTTTTGGCATTTTATTAAGGATTCAATTGCAGCATTTTTTTAAATTTCCCTCCAAAAGTTGCAAATGAGTCGTTAGAATTTGTCAGTAAACTAAGATTGGACCTGGAGGTTTGTGATTAAATAAAGAGAAATAAACTCACTCAAAGTGTACAGTTTCTCTCCTCCACCAAACTACTACAAGCTCATAAAACGTGCGTCATTAAACGTCTTGTGGCCAATCACAGATAAGCATTAAAACACGAAGTACATTAAATTGATAGAAGAGATCCCGCCTAACGGAGGTCAGCAGAAACCACTGACAGTCAATCATAATCTTTATCGTCTATTTTATTATAAATTGGACCACATTTTACTAAATGAACATCATAATGTATGGAAGAAGAGTTGAAACTTAAACTCGTTAGGAAACTGTTGAGCTAATAAATTCAGTGAGCAGTTCATTTCTCCATTAGAGTTCATGGTGTAGTGTGTTATTGCAGTCAATGGAGCTCCCCCTGCTGGTCTGTACATATAACGCAGGTTTTAAGACACTCCTCAAACTGGGCTTCACACCGTCTGCCCTGCAGGTGTCGCTATTGAGGCATTTTTAATTTCTAATAAAGAGAACAATTGTTTTATAGATGACTCTGATGTTTGGTAATAGATTTAAACCAGTTACTCTTTAAATATTACTTACTATAATACTTGCCTCTCAAAAAATAGATGAGGAGCAACCTCCTCTGCCTCTATGGACCAGCCTCCTCTGTCATATAACCTTTGACAAGACTGTAAATTACAGATACGGTGCTGCCTAATGTACCTTGATATGTATTTCTTGTTAGCCTATTTAGCATCCCTACACAGAAGTGTGATTGACAGATATGTTATATTGTGTTGAATCAAAAAAACACCTTGTGTTTCTTCTCGTGTTCATACATTAGGGATACACTTAACTCATTCACTTGGATCAGCTTTTTATTGTTGAAATACTGAAAACCATATTGCAGTTTGCCAGTGATTTCCATTTTGGTGTTTTTATTGTTGTTTTACTATTATTTAATTATTTAATCAGAACCAGTATTTTTTTATGTGAAATAACAGTATTTATTTATAAACTTTTACAGGAGGTAAAGTTAGTGAATTTCTTGAAATGAGCAGGTAAACACAATCTGTGGCAGCACTGACTGAAACAGGTCGGTTTAGTCTTACCAAAGTGGTCAATAATGCAGAGAGTAAGGCTGCACAATTAATCACAATATTATTGTAAGTGCAATATGCAAATTGCAGAAGCTTCAATTTTCTTTGCAGAAAATAAAATGTGTAACAAAACCACATTATTATTTACTGTAGTGCTGTAGAGTGTACAAACAAGGGTGATATCACTGATATCAAGAATATGTGTTGGTTAGTATCCTGGTGCCACCTCCTGGTAAACATGCAAACACAGAATAACATGATATCAGGTTTTTATTGAAGTTATTGTGCTCTAAAAAATCATTTCCAGGACTTTTATCAGGGTTTTTCTGGAACTTGTAAATCCTGGCTTTAGTCTTGTTGTATGCGCTTGCTCACTGTTGTCATCTAGAAGGAGGGATGTGACCTCCTTTTCCTCCTCCTTTGCCACCAGGGTTGTTTATGTCCTGAGTGGTCATTCACGTGGGGAAAAGTACTTCATCCTTAAGCAGCCCAGTCTCATCAACCAGGGGTTGTACTGTGCAGATATTAACAGCATTACTTTGAATTTTGAGCTAAAGTTACCTGGAAATAGGTTTTTATTGTATCTCTTTGATATGAAATTGTTTCCTTTGAGAGATTTTTCATTAAAAATAAATTGTGAAAACATGCTTTTGTGAATGAAGTCATTATGATATTGTGATATGACCCAGTCACCTTTAGTGTACATCAAATTAAAACCATTCAGAACAAAATCTTAAAATAGCAGTTTCAATTTTATTTATATATTTTGAAGACCAAATCGTAATCAAATGTTCACATAGAGCCGGTCTAGACCATACTCCTTATAAAAGTATTTACAGAGACCCAACATTTCCCACCATGAGCAAGCACTTGGCGACAGCGGCAAGGAAAAACTTCCCATTAAGAGGCAGAAACCTCAAGCAGAGCCGGGCTCTAGGTGGGCGGCCATCTGCCTCGACCGGCTGGGTTTAGAGAGAGACGTAGAGACGCACAACAATACCAACGGTATCAATAATAATTAATAATGATAATGAAATGATAATAACAGCAGCAGCAGGTGCAATCTCAATACATGGAAATCTGTGAAACAACAAACCACAAATCATGGGAAATCCCCCAGCAGTCTAAGAGTTTAGCAACATAACTAAGAGCTGACCTGAGCCTTTATCAAAAAGAAACTTAAGCCAACAAAGTCTTTACACTTTTGCAAAAATGTGACTTGATACATGAATTGTCTGCGTATTTTTCTGTGTGTAAACAAAGGAGAAAAACTATAAAACACAACTTTTTCCATTAATGTCGCCATAGAAACCCATTTCATAATAACACTGCAAATATGCAGATTGCAATAATTTGAATACAGCTCAGCCTTCCAATCGTGGCTGCAACAAAACACTAAATACAAATAGATCCTCCTCAATGTTACACACTGGACCTTTAACAGACTACAGTTCTCAGGAAAAACACATTTACTGCATTTAAAGACAATTTAAACCAGTAAAATACAATTTCTATATAGACAATTGGCTTGAACTTCAACTTGTGCCTGTTATTTTGTCTCACAAAGCTGTTTTATATAGTAAAAACCAGGAAAGAGAAAGACTGGTCAGAGGAGGACTTAATAATAAAGGACATGTAGAAGTTAATTTGAGCCACAAATACAAGCAGAAAACAACAAATATGGGAGGAAGAAAATCCATTCAAAAAAAATCAATATTTCCTGGTCATTAATCAGCTCTATGAAGTGATAAAAAATGGTGATAATAACTGAAACGTTTCATTAAGGGATGAAGGAAAGAAAGAGTCCAATAATCCCTGAATAAGGTCCCCTCACAGACTATCACCCCGCTGATAGGTGGCGCTATTAAGAGGCTGAAACTGAGGCTTAAACAATCAGCAGGTAGATAAAGTACTGCGGGACACTGGTGAGCAGCTGCTGATGTTATTGTGTGCAGTCTGACTTTAGTTAAACTGGGAGATTGTGTTTGTTTACTAACGTCCTCGGACAGAAGATGTGTCCTGTTGGATTATAACTTGTTGTTTTGTTTTGTTTGTAAACAACGACCGGCAGATTGTGGTAAAACACCAATGGTGAGTTTAAATATATGTTTAATAACAGGGTCGATTAGGGAAGTGTGCTGACTTTGTCTCGTTTTGTGTGGCCTCGGCTGTCTCTCTCAGTCTTTTAATTATTATTTATTTATTTATTATTATTATTATTATAACATTTGATGAGCTGCTGGTGTGTTTGGACTCTTAATCTGTTGTGGTCGGGACAGACTAACTCAGGAAAATGTGCGTTGTTTGTGGTTTGGCTCAAATGAATGAATAAATAAATAATAAATAGGTTATAAGTACAGGGTTGAGTCTAGCTGTCGGGTTGAGCTGTGAGTTTACCGCCCACTGGGACCCCGCTTCAATATTGAGCTTCAGCTACCGCTCATATAACG